GGTGGCTTAAACTCACGCCGGGCGCGTGTGCGTGCGTGCCCAAGATCCCGAGAGGAGAATGGAGGAGAAAGGATTGCGGTGTGGCCATCCCCCCCTGGGGGGTGATTTCTCGCTTTCTGTCTTTCTGTCTCTCTCTGTCTTTCCGGTGAGCATACACTCCCTATAGCAAAAAACTCTCCAAAAAATTATTTTATTTAACTTCATTTGTTATTTATTTTATTTTAATTTGACAAGAGTGAGAGAGCAAGAGGGAAAGTGAGAAAGCAAGCTGCCAGGTCCATGACTTGGCCATGTGGGAGCCCAGCGCCCTTAACCACCACACCACCTGCCGGCACCATCTGACATGAAGGTCTGTTCCCAGCCCTCCTTACTGGACTGCTCCGGGCAAGTCTGCTGCGGCTCCAGAGGACAATCCCCTGAGCTGGGGCCCTGCTCCTGTGTTTGGACAGGGCAGCGCTATTTTATCTATTTATTTATTTATTTGCTTATTTTCCATTTGCCAGAGGGTGCATGTGCTCACCAGAGAGAGAGAGATTGAAGGAGCAGGAGAAAGCACCCTCCTCAGGGCATGGCCAAGCCCAAATCCCTCCATGCCCCCATCCTGTCAGAGTTGGGGGCAGGCAAGCATATTTGCCCAGCGTGTTTTTCAAGCCACTGGGTCCAGGATCCTAACCAAGCATCAAGCCACATGAGATTAGGCTCCCTTAACCACTATGCTGCTGGGTTTTTTTTTGTTGTTTTTTTTTTGTGTGTGTGTGTGATGCTATTTTAAATGGGGGTGGGGGGCCAAGATGGTGACATTTGCACATTTGCACGACGACATGGAGATGAGGAAGTGCACTATGCAGGTGTCGAAAGGGAGCACGGGAGAAAGGGGGCGGGGGGGTGGGAAATGAACAGGAAGAGGGAGCTGCCAGGACTGCAGCGCTGGGGAGCCACTGCATCTCTGGTGCACCTGCCGGCGTGAGCGCCCGAGGGCCAGATGGGCATGGGGGCGAGGGCAGTGGTAGCTGGGGTGCCCCAGGTCCAGCAACCTTGCACTGGCCTTTGCACCATCCCTGGGGGTGCACAACTGCTTTGCTCAGGAGCCTGGCACCCAGCTCCACTCTACATACAATCACAAGCTATTTTTGTACATTTGACACCTTCGTTCGGGGCTGCGGGGTGGCTGCGCCGGTGTCGTTTACACGGGTCTGCAGTCCTTCACCGGAAATGACTGGATCTGGTGGGTTTCAGAATTCAGACCTGTCGAAACCGTCTGAGGGCAGGGAGCCTGGAGGCGAAGAGTGGCCTGCGCTGCAGCGTCCTGTCCTCGCAGACCTTAGGCGCGGTTGGGCGTGGTAGGCGAGGCGCATGCGCGCTGGGTGAAGACGTGCAGGAGGGTCTGAGCAGAGGGTCAAGGGCAGCGCACGCGCAGTGGGCATTTTAGCGGCGCCAACCGGGAAGAGGCAGAGGGAGCACGCAGGCGCAGTGCGTGTCGAGGGGAGGCCTGGCGAGCTAGAGACTCCCGCCACCCACACCGATGGCTACGGGACGCGGGGAACCGTACTCAGGCGCAGGCGCAGTGGAGCGCAGGGCCTCCAGACAGACGGCGGAGGGCGCGCGAGGGGCAAGCGCAGGCTCTTGGGGTGTTTGGGGAGTCAGGGATCGCCGCGAACCAGTCACCTGGGTCCGAGGCTGTAAGGGTGGCTCGTGTTCATCCTCCATCCTGCCCTTGTCGCAGCTTTAAGGCTGGGACGCCATTCACTCCGTACTCGGCAGAGCCGGGGCTCATCTCTGCGGATCGGAAGGCTCGGGTCCGAGATCTTCCCAGCCAGGCCCCTGCACCTGTCCCCGCAGGCGACTCTAATTCCTAGGCTCCCGAGACCTCAACCCGAAATTCCGTCCCTGGCCTCTCGTCGTCCTTCCCCGGTGTCCCCTCTGGGCTGACTCTGCCAGCCCCAGTCTCCCTCGCCCCTCCATCCAGCCTCCTTTAACTCCCACCCGGCGCCCTGCCCGCTACGGGGACTAAGAGGTTCCTTCCAGCCCCGGAGCTCTGCCGGGGCCCGAGCCCTTCAACCTGCAGATGCACCCAGCGCTCACGCGCACGCGCACGCGCACACCTCGGCCCTGAGGACCCCATCCTTAACCCAGGAGAGGGGCAGAATCAGGAGGGACCCGAAGGCAGACCCACCAGTCTCTGGGGCGCTCTGTGGGCGCTGGGCAGAGCCATGACGGGGCGGAATGCAGGCAGACGAACAGGTCTCGGGTTGCAGCCAGGGGCTCCCTTGCGTGAGACGCCGGCCCGGCCTCCGGTGGGGGCGGGCTTGGAGGGAGGTGAACGGAGTCGGCTGGACCGAATTAATCTTTGATTCCTCGGGGCTTCTCAGGCTCTGCTTGGAGTCCAGGAGTTGGGCCAAGGCCAGCTGAAAACCAGACTTGCCAAGGATGCTTAACGGCGGTCACAGACGCACCGAGCTGAAGGTGGCTTTAGGGAGGCATCTGAGCACAGACAGGGCTAGGACAGACACCAGGACGGGTTCGGCTTGAACCTCGCTGCCCTCAACTTGAAATGATTCTAAAGCATCCATTTCAACAACAAGGGAAATAGGAGCAGTGATCGTCAAAGTATTTTACTGTATGCATCTTCTGAGTTTATGGGAGGATGGAATGGGCGCTCTCCTTTAACCTGCTCAGGACGTCAGTTACATCCGTCGCTTTTTCTTCTTTTTCTTTTATTCTCTCTCTCTCTCTCTCTCGTTATAAGGCAGATTGAGAGAGAGAGGGAAAGTGAGAAATCACCTCGGGGGGGATGGCCACACTGAGTCCCTTCTCCATTCTCCTCTTGGGATCTTCCTTCTCTCGGAACTGGACCTGAGTTTGAAGTCCCAGGGTCCGGGACTCGAAGCAACATAACCATGACGCCATCTGCTGGTCCCCACACCACAGTCTCTCTTCCTCCGTTGTCCTAGGATGGGGAGGGGGAGGGAGCACACATACACATGCCTGGTTTGTTTTCTTTTTTTAAAGAGTTGTTTTTCTGGGACCAGCAGCAGTTAGCATAATGGCTATGTTGTTGGACTCCCATGTAGTCAACCGTGGTTCAAGTCCTGGACCCAGTGGCTTAAACTCACGCCAGGCGCATATGCGTGCGTGCCCAAGATCCCAAGAGGAGAATGGAGAAGGGATTGCGGCGTGGCCATCCCTCCTGGAAAGTGATTTCTCACTTTCTGTCTCTCTGTCTCTCTCTCTGTCTCTCTCTGTCTTTCTGGCGAGCGCACGCGCCCTATAGCAAAATCCTCTCAAAAAATATATATATATGTATATATATATACATATCAGTGAAACATGATAGGCTAATGTGTGGTGTTAGGAAAATTGATTATCTATATGGAGAAAAGTGAAATGAGGTCTTTATCTCACCCCATACACAAAAGTCATTTCCAGGTGCACTCAACCTGATGGGAAAAACAAACTAAATATTTTAGAAGAAAATATAGGGTTTTTATAACCTTAGGATCAATAAGAACCAATGGGCTAGCTGGTGTTGGGGTGGTTAAGGCAGCACGATATTAATTACGTGGTTCAAATCCAAGATCTGGTGGCTTGAAAAACACACCGAAAATACCTCGAGAGGAGAATGGAGGGGAAGGGATTGCAGTGTGGCCACCTCCCCTGGGGAGTACTTTCTCGATTGCCCTCTCTTGCTCTCTCTCCCTGGCACGTGCATGTAACCTATAGCAATTGTTTTTGAAAGAATTATTTTATTTTACTTATTTTAATTTGACCAGAGAAGGACAGAGTGTGAGAAAGTGAGCCACCAGGTCTAGGACTCAAACCATGGTCAGCCATGTGGGAGTCCAGCACCCTTAACCACCATGCCACACGCAGAGACTTCAAAAAACTCATGGATGGGACCAGCAGTTGGCGTAATGGCTATGTTGCTGGACTCCCATGTAGTCGACCGCGGTTCGAGTCCCACCCAGTGGCTTAAAACTCACGCCAAGGGCACGTGTGCGTGCGGGCCCAGGATCCCGAGGGGAGAACGGAGAAGGGATTGCGGCGTGACCTTCCCCCCGGGAAGTGATTTCTCGCTTTCTGTCTCTGTCTTTCTGACGAGTGCACGCGCCCTATAGCAAAAACCTTGGCTTTCGGCCAAGCCCCCAACCCGCTTCTCCGGATTTCCCCGATGCCGCCCAGACCCTCTCCGGCCCCTAGAGGGCGACAGAGCCCGGGTCTGCGGGAGCCCGCCCCGCCGAGCGCCGCTGCCGCCCCGGGAAACAAAGACCTGGCCAGAGCGCGGCGGGAGGGGTGGCTTTCGTTGGGCACCCTCCCCCTTCGTGCCTCGCCCTTCCTGGCCCTCGGTTCCCGGGCGCCCGAGTCCTGGCGGATGTCCCCGGGCCATGCCCCTGCCCTGCCCCACCCACCTGGGAACGTCTTTGCACCTGGGTGGGCCAGGGCGCAGGACTGAGTCGGGAAGCCTGGCGTCCAGCCCCATCCTGCCTCTGCCCTACTGTGTGCCTCCCCTCTCTGCTCCATGCCCGCCGGGACGCGGAGGTGGGCAGGCGCCACGTGCCAGGGCTCAGGCTGGACCCCGGCTTCTCCAGGACTGAGCCCCAAAGCGACAGGTGGATCACGAGAGGAGAGCGAGGACCGGCACCTTCTCACCTGCGGGCTGAGCAGCCCTCGGCCGGCCCCTTGGCCTCTGAGCCTCGGTTTCCTCCTCTGTCCGCGGGATTGAGAAGGCCGCGCTGGGAAGTATTGCAGAGAGGGGCCGCCATTGCGTTACCCGGCTCAAGGGCACCCAAAGGCCCCTCTCCCTGCAGCCTTTCCTAGCCTCTTTCTTCTCTTCTTTTATTACTGTTTTTTTTAAATAATTGTTTTATTTAACTTTATCTATTTATTTTAATTTGACCAGAAAGGGACAGAGTGAGAGAGAGAGAGAGATGGGAAAGTGAGAAAGAAAGTTGCAGGCCGACAGGTGGCCGTGATTCAGGGCGCTGGAATTCTACATGGCCAACCACGGTTGGAGTCCTGGACCTGGCGCTTTGCTTTCTTGCTTTCTCTCTCTCTCTCTCTCTCTGCCCCCTCTGGTCAAATTAAAATAAATAAATAAAGTTACATGAAATAATTCTTTTTTTTTTCTTTTTTGAGAGGTTTTTGTTACAGGGCGCATACGCTCTCCAGAAAGACAGAGACAGAGAGATAGAAAGTGAGAAATCACCCCCCAGGGGGGATGGCCACGCCGCAACCCCTTCTCCTCCATTCTCCTCTCGGGATCTTGGGCACGCACGCACACGTGCCCCGCGTGAGTTTAAGCCACCAGGTCCGGGACTCGAACCGTGGTCGACTACATGGGAGTCCAGCCACACAGCCATTATGCTAACTGCTGGTCCCTATAAAATAATTCTTAAAAAAAAAAAAAAAGAAGGCAAGTCCCCAGATCTGGGACTTGAACCTCAGTCGGCCACGTGGGAGTTCCATGCTGTTTGCCACCACACCACCTGCCAGTCCCCTCTTTTTCTAGAAGAATTATTTTATGGAACTTTATTTATTTTAATTTGACCAGAAAAGGACAGAGTGTGAGAGAGGGAATTTATTTTATTTTTTTTAGAGAGGTTTTCGCTATAGGGCGCGTGCGCTCGCCAGACAGACAGAGAGAGACATAGAGACAGAAAGCGAGAAATCACCCCCCAGGGGGGATGGCCACTCCGCAATCCCTTCTCCTCCATTCTCCTCTCCGGATCTTGGGCACGCACCCACACGCGCCCGGCGTGAGTTTTAAGCCACCGGATCCGGGACGCGAACCGCGGTTGACTACGTGGGAGTCCAGCGACATAGCCATTACGCTAACTACTGGTTCCTAAGGGAATTTTTTTTTTATATTCAATCATTGTATATCATTACACCATACAAAATTAATTTTCCCAGTATGAATACACTGTATATTAGTCCAGTCAAAGATATTAAATTACCACATTATCATCAACGAATACCTATTCTTCCCTCTTGGTCCTGAGGGGGCAGTGGGGTGGAGGCCTGTTGACCACTCTGCCACGGCAGGCCACACAGGACCAATAAGGCTCCTGCAATTCTTTTTTTTTTTTCCCAAGAAGAGATTTTTGCTATAGGGCCAGTGTACTCTCTTGAGATACAGAGAGAGACATAGAGACAGAAAGCGAGAAATCACCCCCCCAGGGGGGATGGCCACGCCGCAATCCCTTCTCCATTCTCCTCTCGGGATCTTGGGCACGCACGCACACACGCCCGGCATGAGTTTAAGTAATCAGGTCCGGGTCTCGAACCATGGTTGACTACATGGGAGTCCAGCGACATAGCCGTTACGCTAACTGCTGGTCCCCCCAAATAATTATTTTTTTAAAAAGGGACCAGCAGATGGTGTTATGGTTATGATGCTGGACTCCCAGGGTGGTTCAAATCCTGGACCTAGCAGCTTAACAACTCACGCTGGGCGCGAGAGAGGAGATTGGAGAAGGGATTGTGGTGTGTCCATCCCCCCCTGAGGGAGGCGATTTCTCATTCTCTCTCTCTTTCTTTTTCTATTGCCCTATAGCAAAACTCCCTCAAAAAAAAAAAAAAAAAGAGAGAGAGAGAGAGAAAGTAATTCTTTTGTTTAATTTGCTACAGGACATGCGTGCTCATCAGAGAGAGACAGAGAAAGTGAGGACGCAAGCTGCCAGGTCCAAGACTTGAACTGCAGTCAACCATGTGAGAATCCAGCACCTTAGCCACCACACCACCTGCCGGCCATGGGCTCCTACACCTCTAAGAGTAACTTCCTCTCGCTGCACCTCTGTTGGCTGACCTGGCAAGCAGGGACACCAGGGACATCGGGGACATCGTAGTTCATCTGTGACCCCCCTACCCCACCCCGTGTGTGGCAGCTGAACCTCCCTGGACTGATCGTCCTCAGTGCAAACACAGAGCCCTCTCCTGATCCCCACCCGTGTCCCAGACAGACCCTAACTTTTGGAGGGTGAAGATGGGGGTGCTGCCTGGCTGGACATCTCCAGCCTAGGGGGCAAGGGGGTGCTGGAGCAAGGCTCCCAGAGGCCTGCTTGCCCTCCCCCTGCCAGCTGGCATGCGTTCAGCTGGGTCTCATTTCCTATTTTAATAGTTTGAAAAAAAAAAAACAAGAAAAAACCCACAACCCTACAACCAGCTGAGGCAGCTGCCACGCTTTGATATTTGAGGACCAAATGATGGGGCTGATTGCGGATGAGAGATTTGAAGCCGTTTTACTTAGAAGGAAAGAATGTCTTCGTGGTCGGGGTGGTTCTAAAATACAGCCGTGCTCACATCTGGAGGGAAGAGGGGGGCCTGGGGGCTGGGGGTAGGCCAAGTCCAAAGCTCTGATGGCGGCGTTCCTGAGGGGCAGCCCCTCTCAGCTGGGCCCCTAGAGGGGGGTAGAAGTACCAAGCAGTGAGTCCCCTGTGGAGCCCCGTGCCACAGGTTTGCAGGTCTGAGACTCGGTAGCTGGTCCCTCCCCCTCACATAAACTCTCCCCACGCCCCTGCCCTAGCGTCCCCCTGGAAAGAGGACACACAGGGCCCTATTTAATGCACTCTTTTTTTGTCCTTAGTATTATTTCATGTTCAAAAATTATTTATGGGACCAGCAGTTAGCGTAATGGCTATGTCGCTGGACTCCCACATAGTCGACCATGGTTCGAGTCCCAGACCTGGTGGCTTAAACTCACACCGGGCGTGTGTGCGCGTGTGCCCAAGATCCCGAGAGGAGAATGGAGGAGAAGGGAT